TTAACATTTCCGCTACTTTGAGCTCAGTTTCAAGCCATTTCCAGTGCTAAAACCAATCAAAATCATCTCTATTTCTGTAATATGTCTTCCATTCTATCAAATGAGACCAAGAAATTGCAAATACAACTATAAAAAACATACGAAAAAACACTGCAAAGTTGCTGTTTTAATCGAAAATCTTGGTTTCAGTTTTTCTCTCATTATACACAGTGTGCTGCAAGATTTGTTTTATGTGGTGCACACATACCACATAGATGTATTCTCTCATATCTAGGCCCAAGTGTACCACTCACAGTTTATCAGAGTGAGCTGAGCTCATGACGTAGATCTACGGTTTGGACACTGAACGCAAAGCCGTAGATCTACGGGACGGAACCTGAAAGGGTTAACTTGCACTAAAGGAAATTCTTATTCGAAGTAAAATATTTTTGATTTAACATAATTTATAAAACAATTATAATAAACATTTTACTAAGAAGGTTGAGTTAACGGTTTGTTTATTCCCTATAAGAAAATTAGGCATGGCTTTTTGGACAAATTACTAATTTTTTCTTGTAATAATCAAAGAAAATTAGTTTTTTTAAATACCCTGCTTTGGTATGGCAAATTAAATATAATACACACTAAATAGCCACTTTATTAGGAACACTTGCTTATTCATGCAAATACAGCTGCTCCTCACTTAGCGACGTACTCGCTTACCGACGCCTCAGACTTACGATGGGCTCTCTGACAAGTATTTATATCAAATAAAGTATATTAGAGCTGAAATGTTATAAATGATGCAAAGGTGACATTAAAATACAGTTGACCCTTGGTTTTCGTGTTTAATCTGTTCCAGAGATGTCGGTGAAAACTGAAACCATTTTCCCCATAAGAAATAATGTATATCCAATTAATCCGTTCCAGACACCCAGAAGCATCAACCACAAAATTTTTTTTTTACCTTTAAAGATAAATTTACATGTACAAAAGAATGAACATTCAACATGACACTTACCTTTATTGAAGGCTGTTGTTGGTGGATGGAAGACAGGGAGAGGGAAGAGAGGTTATAGAGGTTATAGGGTATTCCATAACGACTCGAGTTTCCAAGTCCTTATCTGGGTTCACTTCCCTTCTTTGTTTTTTAGTGCCACAAATCTTTCCATCCTACTCCACATTGCACAAATCTCCATTACTACCACCCTTTACCACCATCATAACCACTACCACCCTCTACCACCATCACAACTGCTACCATCTCTACCACCATCACTACCACTTTCTACCACCGTCACTACCACCCTCTACCACCATCACTACCACTTTTGTATTTTTCTACAAACTTTTTCTTGAATTCTATAGTGTTTCTCACATTCGTTACCAAAGGGCTGGCACTAGAAGCTTTCTTTGGGCCCATGGTGGCTCATTTAGCAGTCACACACAATAAACAAGTGCCAAAAACAATGGATTATTATGAAATGTTTCATATGACCTCCCAGGATACGTTCACTCGCCGAGAAACAACAACATGACGCTGCCTGAGAATGCGTGTGGGAGGAGGCTTTGTGTGCGATCTGGGCACTGGACAGGTTCTGTACCATTGACGAAAACGGAGGAAACTGACAAAAACGGAACCAATATTTTGAAGAAAAAAGTCAGCGAAAATGGAGATAGACAAAAAGGGAAGGTCCCCTGCAATATCAAAGATGCTTGAAACAAACTCGCTAAAAATTATAATATGCTCCTCACTTAGTGGCGAATTCATTTAACCCTTTCAGGGTTTCGGCCGTTCTAGTACGGCTTACGTGCCAGGGTCCTTGATGTACTAGTACTCATAAATTCTAGCGCCTTCAAATCTAGTGAGAGAAAGCTGGTAGGCCTACATATGAAAGAATGAGTCTATATGGTCAGTGTGCACAGTATAAAAAAAATCCTGCAGCACACAGTGCATGAGAAAAAAAAAACTCGGACCATGTTTTTGGATTAAAACAGTGACTTTGCACTGCATTTTCGTATGGTATTTATTGTTGTATTCTAGTTTTCCTGGTCTCATTTGATAGAATGGAAGACATATTACAGAAATTGAGATGATTTTGCAATGAAAAGTACCTTGAAATTGAGCTCAAAGTAGCAGAAATGTTCGATTTTTACCAAAGTTCAATAGTAAACAAATCATGCTAAGCGTCCATTACACATCAAGTGGTGAGCAAATATTCTTTCACAAGTGCGTCGATATTATTTATACCATTTCTACACTAATGCAGTAGTCTGCATAACAGTAAATCTTCTACTTTTTGTGTGAATAAAAATTAAAAATGGAAAGCAAAACAATGTAAGAGGGGCATGGGGACGTGACTAATGATCAGAGGAAATGTTATTTTAGTCCCAGGAATGTCTTTCTTGTTTATTCTGGACCCTATTTGGAAATTGGCATCTTTTGAAATTTGTGAGAAATTGGCAAAATTGCTAAATTCCGACCACTGTACTGGATAGTTGAAATCGGTAAATGGGTGGTTTCTTGTACTCATTCGATAGAAAAAATGGAGTTCTAGCAAAATAGGTATGATTTTTGTCAACTAGTACACTGGAATTGGCGAAAAATAGGGTTCAAAGTGGGCAAAATCGCCGATGCGTAAACATCGTCGAGACTGCTAACTTTGCGAGAGCATAATTCCATAAGTTTTCCATCAAATTTCATACTTTTGGTGTCATTATGATCAGGAAAAGATTCTCTATCTTTTCATAAGAATTTTTTTTTTTTTTTTTTTTGAAATTTGGGGGACCCTAAGAACAGGTCTCTGAGAGGGCCTGTGGACCATGAAAGGGTAAGAATGTGGTCTTAGGAACAGAACTCTGCATTAAGTGAGGAGAGGCTGTATATAATTAAGTCTTGATGAGACAGCACCTCAATGCCTGAAAGCATGTGATCCAAAATAGATGATCAAAAGACAGTCTTCCTCAGGAAAGAAGTAAGTAATTTATCAGCACATCAAAAGTGTATCACAGACTTCTGCTACCCCAGTCTTCCCACACCCTGTACACTTTGTGGCTACCTATGGAAAAACAGGTTCTGAGCACTTGAGTTATACCATTTTTCAGGATTAATGTTGTAAGTGGGAGAATCATCACTCAGCCTTCATCACTATTTCTCTTATTAGTAAGGAATGATTGTAAAATACAGTCAACACAATATAGTGAATATACTAAAATGTAGTACAGCCTCTCCTCGCTTAACGATGGAGTTCTGTTCCTAAGACCACGTTGGTAAATGAATTTGTTGCTAAACGAGGAGCATAATATAATGGTAGCGAGTTTGTGTCAACCATCTTTGATACCGTTTTAATGTCATTTTTGCACCATTTATAACATTTCTGATATATTTTTAAATATTTATACAGTAGTGTACTGTATAACCATGCCACATATAATGCAGATCTTAATATTACGGACAGCAAAAAGGATTTAGGAGTTCTGGTTAGCAGTAATCTAAAACCAAGACAACAGTGCATTAGTGTTTGCAATAAAGCTAACAGAATCCTTGGCTTCATAGCAAGATGTATAAATAATAGGTTGTTCTTCAACTACAGATATAAATGCACTGGAAAATGTACAAAGGAGGATGACAAAGTTGATCCCATGTATCAGAAATCTTCCCTATGAGGATAGACTGAGGGCCCTGAATCTGCATTCTCTAGAAAGGCATAGAATTAGATGGAATATGATTGAGGTGTATAAATGGAAAACAGGAATTAATAAAGGGGATGTAAATAGCGTGCTTAAAATATCTAACAGACAGGACTTGCAGCAATGGCTTCAAATTGGAAAAATTCAGATTCAGGAAGGATATAGGAAAGCACTGGTTTGGTAGGAGAGTTGTGGATGAGTGGAACAAACTCCCGAGTGCCATCAAAGAAGCTAAGACATTGTGTAGTTTTAAAAATAGGTTAGATAAATACATGAGTAGGCGTGGGTGGGTGGGTGTGAGTTGGACCTGACTAGCTTGTGCTACTAGGTCAGATGCCATGCTCCTCCCTTAAGTGACGTGTCTGATCTCACTAGGTCAAGACTGTGTCTTGGACTGATGAAGCCACTGTATTGGACTGATGAAGCCACTGTGTGGCGAAACGTTTCCTGAATAAAGATTCCCATATGCTGCATAAGTGTCTCAATCTTCAACTTGTCGGTTTTTCAAACCATTCATCACAGAGTTGTAGATGCGTGGAACAGTCTTCCCAGTGGGGTGATAGAGGCTAGGACCTTGGGTAGCTTTAAGAAGAGACTGGACAAATATATGAGTGGGAGGGGCTGGGTTTGATTGGTGTCATTGGGTACGGGAGTTATTCTTGGGTGGCTTTAGGTAGAGATCGTTTTGATAAGGACCTGCCTCGTATGGGCCAGTAGGCCTTCTGCAGTGTTCCTACATTCTTATGTTCTTAAGCTGGTGGGAGAATTGGACCTGCCTCACATAGGCCAGTAGGCCTATTGCAGTGTTCCTTCTTTCATATGTTCTTTTTTTTTTTTTCAACAAGTCGGCCGTCTCTCACCGAGGCAGGGTGACCCAAAAAAGAAAGAAAATCCCCAAAAAGAAAATACTTTCATCATCATTCAACACTTTCACCACACTCACAAATTATCACTGTTTTTGCAGAGGTGCTCAGAATACAACAGTTTAGAAGCATATACGTATAAAGATACACAACATACCCCTCCAAACTGCCAATATCATATGTTCTTATATTGTAATAAACAGAATCGAGGAAATCAGCTCTAATATACATTATTTAGTAATGCATACTGGTCAGAGTCCATTTTAAGTCCAAGTCGCCGGTAAACAAGTACATCGCTAAGTGAGGAGAGGGCATAAATACTAAAGTGGTCAGCAGCGCTACCACTATTTCATGAGAATCATCTAAATACATACAGTGAAGCATTGATTTAATGAATTAATAGGGAAAGACGTCTCTGTTAAATACATATGATGATATTAAATCCTATTGTCTTAAAAATATGCTTACCAATAATTCCCTTAAAATGAGAATCTTCCATGCTATCATAATACCGTAGCTGATGCTTTACACTGTCTAGAACAAACCACCTTTGTTTCCAGTTTTTAAGAAGAGAACCACGTTTCCATAAATATCCTTCATGTGTTCTGTTTTCTGCTACGTTTGAAGAAAACTGTTCATAGTACTGGTGAGATGTAGTTTGCAGGGATGTTACACCTGTTACAGATGAGATATTTCATGAAAACAGAAAATAGTTTTGAATATATTTTTTTTTAATACAGTTTAGTATCAATAACCTAATTTACCTGGAACAATTTGGAGAAAATAAAATAGTAAAAAGATTTACAAAGCACTTATTTGAAAATAATGAATAAATATGCATTAACACGAGTCTTAGCTAAGGTTTGATACAAAAAAATATGCACAAGAACTATAGACAAATTATTTATTCTCAAAACTGTTAACATTAGAATGTCTAATTCTCAACCTAGACCAAGTCTGAACCAATTATGTCAAAAAATAAACCTGTTTGATAAACAGCCATCATACAAAGACCAATTTTGTTATGGAGTTTTCATATTTTTACTTTGTAGAAGTGGGTAACTTGAGGAGCATGAGTAACATCAGTTAGATGGAATTAGAGATGATATAGAAAGACAAAATGCAAAAGTTGTCGATTCACAAGTTAGAGAAGTGTACATACGATACGGAGAAATGATGAGAGGAATATTACCAGTATGAGGGTTAGCAAGGAAAGCTTAGGCAGGAAAATGAAGAGCAGAAATGAACAAAACCTAAGTTTAAGTGATTCTTAGGAGTGAATGAACACTTAAAATGGATTAAACATTACAGTGAGTTGCAAAGTACTACTGGCTTTACATGAAGGTACAGTGAATGCGAGTTAGCATGAATAATCAGGTGTTCATATCTTACCTCTTTTTGTTTCCAACAATTAATAGGAAGATCTCTTAATGTCTTTAAATAAATTTTCCCTACCAACAATAAAATGTAAATGGTGTTTAAAAAACCCTATATGAGGAATTCTTACATTGCATGCAGGTCAAAGAATTACAGTTTATCAGAGAATATAAGTGTGTGCTTACACAAATGACACTTGACAAGGACCATAATAAGATATCTACATGCTTAAGTGATGCTCATGAAGACCACAGTTAATACAGTACTAAAATATTACCAAGCAATTTAGGTTTCCACTGGGTTAACAGGTACAAACTGCCTTGGAACAAATTATAATTATCACTCAAGCTCTATAGCTGAAAGGCATACAGAAAATACTTCCCATTTTTTTACTTAAGTAGACTACCTTACCTGATCCTACAGAGGTAGTGTCTAAGCTGGTAGGTTTTGTGCTGGTTTGTATGCTAACACCAGACTCTCGTACACTCTTAAATCGAGTACAGTTCTTGGGTACTGTTTCTATACATTTTTCATGGCAGTTGTACCCACAGTCCACGCAACGCATCCCTGTCTGAAATATTACGTGTATTTGGATGCTTGTTATTCTTTCACCAGTTTTAATTGAAATGTTACATATAACAGTGTTACAGATAATATTATACGTAAAAAGATGAAGACGCGAGATATATCAAGTGTAATATGTCTAGAGAATTATTATAATCATGGGAGAACACTAAACCCCTAGGGTTATACAGCACTTGGAGGAATGGGGAAAGAAAGGCAACAGAAAAGGGAAAAACAAAGGAGGGATTAGACAGATTATTATTATTGGGAAATACTATGTGGCAGAGGTCATAAAGAGCCTAGGGAATAGGAAGATGAGAGAGAAAGGAATAGAAAGAGGTTGGAAATAATCAGACAGACAAAGAGGAAGTGGATCTCAAGACAAAGTTGGACAGGAACAAAAATACGTAAAGGGAAGAATTGGAAAAGAAAACAATGTATTAAAGAAATTAAAAAAAAAAAAGAAAAAGAAAAACAAACGTGCCATAACAAATTGTGGTTTTGATATTAATAAAATGATATACAGCAAATCTACTTTTAACCTTAACAGCGGCACACTTGAATATTATTCATCAAGTAAATTTCTCCATGGAAAGTTATGCACAACTACTTCTAAATCACGTTTACAAACAAAACTTAATTTACCTTAAGTGGACCCCATAATAAAGAAGAGCAATGGTCACAATACGAGGGCGTGGTGTAATTGTACTTTTCAAAACGATGCGGGTGGGAATAACACCCCTGAGGGGTATCTCCACCACCACCTGGAGTACTTCCACTTGTTTTTCCTCTAATCAGTATTTCAATCGTACTACGCTTGTGAACACTTCGGCCATGGTGGCGCACCATCTGAGTTGTCATGGAAACTTGACGCTGATGAGAAAAGAATTAATATAATGAACTTGTGAAAAAAATAGATTTAAATACAGACTGTATTAACCCGTAAACGGTCCAAGCAGATCTACGTTCACATGCGTAGTGCTCCAAAAGTAGATCTACGTTTTTTTTTTTAAATATTTAAAAAAAAAGTAGATCAAAGTTTTTTTACGTTTTCAAATGTACAAAAAAAAAAATCTACTTTTTTTTACATACTTTCAAATATTGAAAAAACGTACATATATGTTTGGACCGTTTACGGGTTAAAAGGTAATATTGTACATGCCAATGACACAATGTGAAGATTTTGGTATTTTATTAGAAAATGTTTCACCATAAAAATATACAGGTTTGGAAGCAGTAACTTCCCAAACAATTTTACCCAAGGCATTACAACAGTAGCCATCTCAGAACCCTGTAGATACATCACTCTTATAAACTTAGCCATGGATCTTTCCATTTATATTATTATCACTGCAGACAAAGGTGGAGGGGTGGTCATGAACTCTACAGACTGCAATCACAACTGAAAAAGACTACTGGAAAACAAAGAAACATACAAGCCCAGTATTATATAATAAATTTCCTCAAATTGCACATTGAGTGAGTTTTTAAAAGAATACTATTTGCATGTCTTTTCAATAAATATTACTATGCAGTTCTGAAGATGCAAGTCAACATTTTTAGAAAGGTGGCTCAATCATGAAAAGGTTTTCACTCAGAAACTTCTATGGCCTTAGGAAAGGCAGCTGCTGACTCTGGTCAATACAGGATATTCTGTGATGGCTTTATAAACTCAACAGATGACCCACAGCTGTCAACTGATACAACAGATGACTCAGCCATCTACTGCTCAGTAGTCACATAACCACCTCCAAATGCTTCTACTGTATATCAACAAGCAAGAGAAAAGGGAATACAGTGGTATCTCGAGTTATGAACTTAATTCATTCTAGAAGGCTGTTCAAGTGCCGATACCGAACGAATTTGTTCCCATGAGGAATAATGTAAATTAGATTAGCCCGTTTCAGACCCCCGAAAATACACTTACAAAAGCACTTACAAAAATACACTTACATAATTGTTCGAGTTGGGAGCTGTTCAAAACTCGAGGTACCACTGTACAGTGGACTCTCGGTTTTCGTGTTTAATCCATTCCAGAGCCATCGGCCAAAACCGAAACCATTTTCTCCATAAGAAATAATGTAAATGGAATTAATCCGTTTGAGACACCCAGATGTATCAACAAAAAAAATTTTTTTACCTTAAAGATAGATTTACATGCACAAAAGAATGAACATTACACATGACACTTATCTTTATTGAAGGCTGTTGTTGATGGATGAAAGACAGGGAAGAGGGAAGAGAGGTTATTTGGAAGGGGAATCCCCCTCCATAAGGACTATGTACCCAGTCCTTATCAGGGGTGACTTCCCTAGCCACTTCCCTAGCTTAAATGTAGATTTACATGCAGAAAGGAATGACAAATAAATATAAAGCACTAATAAAATGGATAAATGAACATTTAACATCACACTTACTTTTACTGAAAAGATTTGTTAGTGTATGGCAGACTGGGCAGAGGGGAGAGGGAGGAGAGTTTATTTTTGGAGAATTTGACACTAATATCAACTCTACGGCTTATTTATCTATCACAATTCAACTAATATGACATAATTAACAATATTAATAACATAGAAACATGACATACCCTAGAATGAATAAAATAAGTCATTATGTTTGTAATGACAGGTGTTCTGTTGTTGTTAGGTGTATATAAGGGCCAATGTGAGCATAAGCCGTACATACTGTTGGTGAAGGCTGCAGCTGAGGCAGCGGTGTTTTCTGTAGCCCTATATAACTCCAACAACATTGGAAGAGTTGGTAGAATCACTGAAGGCACCCTCTATCACCATCACAACCTCCCTCTACCACCACCACTTTCGTATTTTTCTACAGACTTTTTCTTGAATTACAGACCCCCGCATACAGTTGGCATCACATAACGTTAAATCCGCATAGCGATACATTTTATCACTAAAATTTTGCCTCGCATAGCGCTAAAAAACTCGCTCAATGCTATTCGTCCGAGACGCGTCTATGTGAGGCCTGAGCCAGTCTCACATGTTCCGCCGGTGGCATTATTTACAAACCAGCCTCCGCGGTAACATCCAAGCATACAATCGGAACATTTCGTATTATAACAGCGTTTTTGGTGATTTTATCTGCAAAGTAAGTATGACCATGGGCCCCAAGAAAGCTTCTAGTGCCAACCCTGTGGTAAAAAGGGTGAGAAATATTATCGAAATACTGTGGTACCATGGTCAACTGCTGATGCTGCTGCTGTAGCACCGTTTGCTGCTGCTGTAGCACCGTTTGCTGCTGCTGTAGCACTGTCAGCTGCTGCTGTAGCACTGTCAGCTGCTGCTGCTGTAGCACCGTCAGCTGCTGCTGCTGCTGTACCACTGTCTGCTGCTGCTGTACCACCGTCTGCTGCTGCTGTACCACCGTCTGCTGCTGCTGTACCACCGTCTGCTGCTGCTGTAGCACCGTCTGCTGCTGCTGTAGCACTGTCAGCTGCTGCTGTAGCACCGTTGTTGGTGTGGCTTATTGAGAATACCAAGAAACAATTAACCCCAGAGGGTTAGCCACCCAGGATAACCCAAAAAAGTCAGTGTCATCGAAGACTGTCTAACTTATTTCCATTGGGGTCCTTAATCTTGTCTCCCAGGATGCAACCCACACCAGTCGACTAACACCCAGGTGAACAGGGAAAAATGCCTGGAACTAGTGCTCATATTGGTGAATTTAAAGCCAGCAAAGGTTGGTTTGAGACATTTAAGAATCATAGTGGCATACACAGTGTGATAAGGCCTGTTCTGGAAGAAAATGCCAAACAGGACCTACAGTACTCAGGAGGAAAAGGCACTCCCAGGACACAGTGTCTCATCAGTCATTGCTGCATCTTCAATAAAGGTAAGTGTCATTTATTCTTCATTTAGTAGAGTAGTACATGCACAATATATATTGTGCATGTACTACTCTACTATTGTGCATGTATCCTTCTCTTTGTGTGTAGGAAAATGTATATTTCATGTGGTAAATTTTTTTTTTTCATACTTTTGGGTGTCTTGCACGGATTAATTTGATTTCCATTATTTCTTATGGGGAAAATTCATTCGCATAACAATGAGCTCTCAGGAACGGATTAATATCGTTATGCGGGGGTCCACTGTATATCATGTTTCTCACATTCTCTACCAAAGGGCTGGCACTAGAAGCTTTCTTTGGGGCCATGGTGGCTTATTTAGCAGTCACACACAATAAACAAGTGGCAAAAACAATGGATTATTATGAAATGTTTCATATGACCTGGCAGGATATGTTCACTCACTGAGAAACAACGCTACACTGGCTGAGAATGGTGTGGGAGGCAGCTTTGTCTGCATGCTGGGCACTGGACAGGTTCCATACAATCAACAAAAACAGAGGTAATCAACAAAAATGGAACCAAAAAATAGACGAAAAAAGTCGGCCAAAATCGAAATCAGTGATAACGGAGATCGACGAAAACGGAGGGTCCACTGTATAAAGCTAAAATTCTTCAGTGTCACTATTGAGAAAACTACAGTGAAAATTTAAATTGTGTAAACATGTTTTGTAAACAATGTACTGATGACACTATTATTGTGGGTATTGTGTTGCATATAACTGGTGCATGATAAGAGTCTCACTCACGTGTCACGAAAGTTACTGGAAAATGTAAAAAATTAAAAAAAAAAAAAGTATAAAAACTAAAACAGAAAAATGTGAAGCACAATCACCAATGTTGTTGTCAGCAGGTCAATGATCTTCAACTTCTCATCTCAGTAAGTACTGATGGGATTATTTTTCATTGTGTTTCATTACCACCACAGAAATGTACTCCCATTTTTGATCGGATTTTTTTTTTATGCAACACTGAAAGCAATTTTAAGGTAAAGGGGTTAAGGTTCGATGTACAAGTGCTTTGGAATTTCTTGAAAGAACAATCATTCAAGAATAATAAAATTCCAAATTATTTTCTTTTAACACGTCAGCCGCTTCCCACCGAGGCAGGGTGACCCAAAAAGAAAGAAAAAAAAACTTTCATCATTCAACACTCACCATCACTCGTACATAATCACTGTCTTTGCAGATGCATTCAGATACAAGAGTATAGATGTCCCTCCAAACTGCCAATATCCTAGACCTCTCCTTTAAAATGCAGCCATTGTAATTCTCATTTCCAAGACTCAAGTCTGGCTAACCAGCAGCTTGTCAGGTCCGAAAAACCATTTGTCTCTATTCACTCCTATCTAACGTGCTCACGCATGCTTGCTGGAAGTCCAAGCCCCTCACCCACAAAACCTCGTTTACCACCTCCCTTCAACCTTTTCAGGGATGACCCATACCCCGCCTTCCTTCCCCAACAGATTTATACCTTTTCCAAGTCATTCTACTTTGCTCCATTCTCTCTAAATGACCAAACCACCTCAACAGCTCCTCTTCAGCCCTCTGACTAATACTTTTAGTAACTCCACACCTCCTCCTAATTTCCACACTACAAATTCTCTGCATAATATCTGCACCACACCTGCCCTTAGACATGACATCACCACCACCTCCAGCCACCTCTTCGCTGCAGCATTTACAACCAATGCTTCACACCCATTTAAGTGTTGGTACCACCATACTCTTGTACATTTCCTTCTTTGCCTCCATGGATAAAATGTTCATTGTCTCCACAGATACCTCAATGCACCACTCACCTTTTTTCCTTTATCAATTCTATGGTTTACCTCATCCTTCATAAACCCATCTGCTGACAAGTCAACTCCCAAATAACAACACATTCACTTCCTCTATACTCCCTCCCTCCAATGTGATGTTCAATTTTTCTTTACCTAACTCATTTGATATCCCTCATCATATTTATCTATATTCGCTTTCAACCTTTACACAGCCTCTCAAACTCGTCCACTAACCTTTGCAACTTTTCTTTAGAATCCCCCAAAGGCACAGAATCATCACCAAAAAGTAACGGTCAACTCCCATTTTGTATTTGATTCCCCGTGATTTAATCCCACCTCTCTCCCCAATACCCTAGTATTTACTTCTTTCACAACCCCATCTATAAATATGTTAAACAACCATGGTGACATTACACATTCCTGTCTAAGACCTACTTTTACTGGGAATTAATCTCCCTGTCTCCTACGCACCCTAACCTGAGCCTCACTACCCTCATAAAAACTCTTTACAGCATTTAGTAACTTACTACCTATTCCATACATTTGCAACATCTGCCACATTGCTCCCCTATCCACTCTATCATATGCCTTTTCTAAATCCATAAATGCAATGAAAACTTCCCTACCTTTATCTAAATACTGTTCACATATATGCTTCAATGTAAACACCTGATCTACACTTCCCCTACCCATTCTAAAGCCTCCTTGCTTATCTGCAATCCTGCTCTCTGTCTTACCTCATTCTTTCAATAATAACCTTACCATACACTTTACCTGGTATACTCAGTAATTTTTACAATCTTTTTTTCCCCCTTCCCTTTATATAAACGAATTGTACATTCTCTCTGCCAATCCCTAGGTACCTTCCCATCTTTCACATATTTATTAAACATAAATACCAACAACTCCAACACTATATCTCCCCCTGCTTTTAACATTTGTCATGATCCCATCAGTTCCAGCTGCTTTACCCCTTTCATTCTACTTATGCCTCACGCACCTCCCCCACACTCATATCCTGCTCTTCTTCACTCCTAAAAGATGTTATACCTCCCTGGCCAATGCATGAAATTACTGCCTCCCTCTCTTCATCAACATTTAACAGTTCCTCAAAATATTCTCACCATCTTCGCAATACCTCCAACTCTCCATTTACAACATTTAAAAGTTCAAAACATTCCTGCCATTTACCCAATACCTCCAGCTCCCTATCTACTAACTCCCCTACTCTGTTTTTAACTGACAAATCCATTCATTCCCTAGGCTTTCTTAACTTGTTTATCTCACTCCAATTTTTTTTCTTATTCTCAGCAAAATTTCTTGACAGTGCCTCCCCCACTCTATCATTTGCTCTCTTTTTGCACTCTCTCACCACTATCTTCACTTTTCTTTTACTCTCCATATACTCTGCTCTTATATTACTTCTGCTTTGTAAAAACCTTTCATAAAATTATTACTTTCACTGAGAAATATTCCCCATACCCTCTATATACCCTAACCTAAGCCTAACTCTGCATAAAAACTGTTTCTAGTAACCTACTTCCTATTCAATACATTTGCAACATCTGCCACATAACTCCCCTATCCACTGTTATGTGACTTCTAAATTTATAAATGCAACAAACATCTCTTTACACGTATCTAAGTACTGCTCACCTGTATGCTTCAGTGTAAATATTACACAAAACCTACTCTTCCTAAATCCTCTTTCCTTCTCTGCAATCCTATTTTCTGTCTTGCTCCTAGCTCTGGCAATAATAATTCTGTCATAAACTTTTCTTACACAGTACAAAGACTTTACATGTGATGGCCAACTTACAGTGAGTTGTTCAGGTGGTGGTAGTTCCAACTTATCCCAATGCATGTTCCATTTTTGAGGGAGATGCCCAAGCTCTAGTTCCAGATGACGCAATTCCTCCAATTGGGCTGAGAATGCATCTAATTCTATGCCCCAGATGCAGTCATACCTGTCAGATTATAACACAAAAGTAATAAAATCCCACAAAATAAATTATTTTTAAAATATAACAGTCCATGTAAAACCAATCACACAAAAATTTTTACCTTTCTTACAGAGTTTTGAAGATTAAGTGACTGAAACCAAATGGCACTGACAAAGGAAATTATGAACACCACCAATGGTTTAAAATTTTGATCACACAAAATTGACTACAGTGGACCCCCGGATTTCGTCCAGTGCGTATATCATACAATTCAGATTTCGACCACTTTTTTGGGCGAAATTTTACCCCGGGTTTCGTACCTCCGCTAGGAAATCATCCGTGTCAGATATGTCTGCCTGCCCGGGACACGGCTGTTCACATGTACAGTGGACCCCTGGTATTCGACGGCATCGGTATTCGATAAATCCGGTATTCGATGCATTTTAACGCAAAAGTTTTGCCTCGGTATCCGATTGAAAACCCGGTATTCGATACGATTCGTACGAGACGTGTCCACGTGTGGCCTGAACTGCCCCTTGTGTGCCAGTGTTTACAAGCCAGCCAGTGTGCGCGCATCTAAGGATACATTCGGTACATTCCATATTATCCATATTATCACTGTTTTTGGTGCTTGTTTCTGCAAAATAAGTCACCATGGGCCCCAAGAAAGCTTCTAGTGCCAACCCTGTGGTAAAAAGGGGTGAGAATTAGTATGGAAATTAAGAAAGATTTTGAAGGGTTTGGGGCTAACCCTGAGAAGCCTATGCTAGTTGTGGAATCCATTGTGCCTACTTCAAAAATTAAGGAAATGTGTGCACAGTGGGTTGAAGTGCAAACCTTTATGGATGAAAATCACCCTAACACAGCTACTGCAAGCCATGCTGGTGACTATTACAATGACAATGTTGTGGCCTATTTTAGACAAATCGTAAAGGAACGGGAGGTACCGAGCTCTATGGACAGATTTGTTGTGCGACAGAAGTCCAGTGACTCTCAAGCTGGTCTTAGTGGCATTAAAAGAAGAAGGGAAGTAACCCTGGAAAAGGACTTGCTACCTCAAGTCCTAATGGAAGGGGATTCCCCTTCTAAACACTAACACCATCCACACTCTCCCCTCCTCCCATCCCATCAATCATCACCAGATCTTCAATAAAGGTAAGTGTCTTGTAACTGTGCATGTCTTCTTCAGTTTGTATTAAAATTAATATTTCATATGGTAAAAAAAATTTTTTTTTTCATACTTTTGGGTGTCTTGCACAGATTAATTTGATTTCCATTATTTCTTATGGGGAAAATTGATTCGCTTTTCGATATTTTCGGTATTCGATGAGCTCTCAGGAACGGATTAATATCGAATGCCGGGGGTCCACTGTATATGACTCGGTCTGCCTCTGTCACTGGTTCAGTGAACAATACTCTGCGCATTTATCCGAAACATTGGTGGTAGAGGGTGGTTGTGATTGTGAGGGTGGTAGTGATGGCAAACAATCGAAGATGTTGAAAAGTTGTAGCTGGTGTAGATCAATGAAAAACAGTGGGAGATAGTGTTGTGGAGGCGATAATTTGTGAAAAGGCAAGGCAGCTGCACGCGGATCTCGTAAAGAATATGCCAACAAGAGTCTTCAGTAAAGGTAAAAGTGATTTAAATGTTCATTTATCCATTAAAATTAGTGCTTTATATTTATTTCTCATTGTTTTCTGTATGTAAAACTACAGTTATTCTCTATAAAATGTATTTTTTGTTAATATTTGTGGGTGTCTGGAATGGATTAATTGAATTTACATTATTTCTTATAAGTAATATTACTTCGGTTTTTGTCCATTTCGGATTTCGACTGACCTTCTGGCATGGATTAAAGATGAAAACCAGGAGTCCACTGTACTTGTTTAATTTTTAATTTTTATGGTTATGTATATGATGATGTGCTCATCATTGTTAATATGGAGCACAGGTTGAGGCATAGCACCATATGACAATATGCACTAGAATCCTGTTTCTAAGTTGGTGGGCCTCTCATTATGGCTAAACAAACACCTCTTTTAAACATATTTCTACTTATCTGTAGAGGGTAGAGATTCAGGGAAGAACTGAATCCCCCTAAGGCACTGAGGGACAAGAACATGAGTAAGGGTGATGGTGGTGTGGTCCCGTGTATCAGCAGCACTGGCTAATAGTTCATACGTGCTCGCTTTCACTCTGAATTATCTCTGTATCAGTGTGTAATGGTATAAGAAAAAAGGATGCAAGTAAACTTAAGAATTTTTATTTAAAGAGGTACATGTACTGAACTTTCTCAAGTGAAAGGATTCACATGATAAAGACAGTTCACTACATATGAAGGAAAAATAGACCTCATTAAATAAGAGCTCTTCCATTTTCTTTCATCTTTATTATTATTACTTAGCTGTTGCCACAGTTTCACACAATGGTATGAGATACTAACACAATGGAAGAAGACAAATGTATTTTTTTTTTTAATTCAAATGTATTCTGCCAAGGCAGGGTGACTCAAAGAAAACACATTCTTTCTAAGAAGTGTGATGACATCACAATCAGATTACCTTAAGAGTGTAAGCACTGTCCTTCACCCCCTCCCTCCATACTTTCTTAGGGCAATCGCTACCCCTCCTTCCCTTCACTATAGATTTATACACACAAGTCATCCTGTTTTGCTCAATCCTCTTTAACCCTTTCACTGTCCAAACTCCTGATCTGAAACTTGTCTACAGCATCCAAAAATTTTCAATTTTTGTTTTGTTTTTATGAAATGGTAGACAATCTTTTTCCGAAGGTAATAAAATGAAAAATACAAAATATGAGGGAAAACTGACAAAATTACACTTTAGCGAATTTTGCTGTGTCAGTGATATTTACACATCGGCAAATTTGCCCACTTCGAGTCCTATTTTAGGTCAATTAACATTATTCCAGTACGTAGGCAAAATTCTTAGCTATTTCACTAGTATGTCTTCCATTTTATCTACTGAGCTCAAGAAATTACCCAATCAACTATTTCAACTACCCATTATAATAATGTGATAAGAAATTGGTAATTTGAACTTCACACAAATTTCAAAATCCAATTTCAAAATAGGGTCCACAATAAAAAAAATGTAGGCATTCCTGGCACTAAAATAACATTTCCTCTGTTGATTAGTAATATTCCCAGGCTTTACATGTAAATTCCATTTTCATTTTTTATTCACACAAAAAATTGAAGATTTAATGTTATGAAGTATTGCAATATTTTTTTTTTATTACCACATAGGCCGTTTCCCACCAAGGTAGGGTGGCCCAAAAAAACAAAAACTTTCACATTATTCACTCCATCACTATCTTGCCAGAGGCATGCTTACACAACAATTATAAAACTGCAACATTAACACCCCTTCTTCAGAGTGCAGGCACTGTACTTCCTGTCTCCAGGACTTAAGTCCGGCTTGCCGGTTTCCCTGAATTCCTTCATAAATACAGTGGACCCCAGTTTTCATCCTTAATCCGTTCCAGAAGGTCAGTTGAAATCCGAAATTGATGAAAACCGAAGTAATATTTCCCATAAGAAATAATGTAAATCCAATTATTCCGTTCCAGACACCCAAAAATATTATTGGCAGTTTGGAGGGATATGTTGTGTATCTTTATATATATATATGCTTCTAAACTGTTGTATTCTGAGCACCTCTGCAAAAACAGTGATAATGTGTGAGTGTGGTGAAAGTGTTGAATGATGATGAAAGTATTTTCTTTTTGGGGATTTTCTTTCTTTTTTGGGTCACCCTGCCTCGGTGGGAGACGGCCGACTTGTTGAAAAAAAAAAATCTATAGTGTTGCAGCTCTTCAGTGGTTAGCTCTTCTGTGGTCATCCACCAACTCTTCCACATCCTGGCCACTCACATCCAACCCCATGGACTTCCCCAAAGCCACAATAGAGTCCACAACATGCATAGGGTTGTCAAGTTTACACTAATATTTAGTTAGTAACAGAACTTTTTTTGTCTCATAAACACGCTGGATAACAGGTATAGCTTGCTACTTCTACTTACACTTAGGTCACACCACACAGGCATGCACATGCATATATATACAGTGGACCCCCGGTTAACAATATTTTTTCATTCCAGAAGTATGTTCAGGTGCCAGTACTGACCGAATTTGTTCCCATAAGGAATATTGAGAAGTAGATTAGTCCATTTCAGACCCCCAAACATACACGTACAAACGCACTTACATAATTGGTCACATTGGGAGGTGATCGTTATGCGGTGGTCCACTGTATAGTATATACAGGTCTCCCTCAACATTAACGTTTTCAACTTTCACGGGCTTCACACATTCGCGAATTCCCAACCGCCAAATTCCCAGCAGCCAAATCATATTTAAGTTTCCCGCCACCTGCGAGTCCCTGCTACCCTCCCTCTGACCCCCGCAACTGGCAGCCAGCCCTCCCACCACTCAGTGTGGCGAGTGTTTTGTTTGTTCATTATTTGCTATTAAACTACAGTATAAATAATGTAAATCCATTCATGACTGCATATTGGAATGGCTATTCAGACAGGTATTAGACGGTGACATCATGTGTTTACTCTTGAACAATGCAAAGAATTAAACATTTCTGCTACAGCTAATAATAACAAGAGTAATAATAATAATAATAATAATAATAATAATAATAATAATAATAATAATAATAATAATAAGTGAACATAGAAAAGAGTAAGGTGATGAGGGTATCAAATGATTTAGATAAAGAAAAATTGGATATCAAATTGGGAAGGAGGAGTATGGAAGAAGTGAATGTTTTCAGATACTTGGGAGTTGACGTGTCGGCGGATGGATTTATGAAGGATGAGGTTAATCATAGAACTGATGAGGGAAAAAAGGTGAGTGGTGCGTTGAGGTATATGTGGAGTCAAAAAACGTTATCTATGGAGGCAAAGAAGGGAATGTATGAAAGTATAGTAGTACCAACACACTTATATGGATGTGAAGCTTGGGTGGTAAATGCAGCAGCGAGGAGACGGTT